AGCCTCCGGAAAAAGCGGCCGCGTAAGTGCCCCGCGGGGCGCCCTGCGGCTCGCCCTGCCCCCTTCCGGTCGCGACGCCGTTTTTCCCGCTAGCAGACTGGGCCGGGACGGTGGTCTGACGGTGGGCGGTGCGAGGCCTGACGCCCGGCTAGAAGCCTAGGTGTTCCCGCCGCTGCGCCTTCTAAGTTCGGCTCCCGCCGGGCCCTCGCGGCCCTGGGTCTGCTCCTCCCGCTAGTTGCGGTGTCAGGACCCTTCTTCCCTCTCCTTAAATCCTTGGGCTTTCTTTCCTCGAAGAGTCACATGATTTTATCCTCGAGAAGGCTTCTTTTGATTCATTCTATCGCCTCGCAACCCCTCCCCCTGTATCCTTTGAATCGCCACTGTCTGTTCCGGGGGTTCCCAGGGAGCTGCTTTCCAAGATGTTAAGTCCTTTCATCAGGCGATTTCCGGCTTACTGGAAAATGGTTATCTGTTCCCCGAGTTGCTCGAGGCCTAAAACTGGCTTCCACGAACCTTGCTCCTCCAAGCTTTGGCTGCTTTTCTTCCCATGAGAATTCAGGTCATCTCACACCCAGATGTCTCCCGATTTCCTTCTATTTGCAGGTAGTCACGATTCAGAGCTGTAATATTTTGGACATTAAGGCTTTTTCTTTTGAGAGCAAACGGCATCTTCCTGACTTTTGCCTTGACAGTTGCAATCGCCCTTTTCACAGAATCAGTTTCCCCATTTTATTACCCGATCGCCTTTTCTGCATTGTGTATTTTCTGCCTTTTACAGGTCTTCAGTTCAGGGCTAGCAGCCATTGCCACTGTGGAAAGTATCAATTGTCCCGATACTGTAATATGAAGCTTTATCGTCTAGCAGCGTCTTACATATTGGAGGACCTGGTGTTGGTGGTTGCCAAATTCCTATTTGAGGAAATCGACTTTCTTATGTGCAGATAATGAGAGTGAGGGAAGTGGCAGGATATGTGTGAGGTCTGTGTTGGATAGGCCGTACCTTAGTCCAGGTACCCAGTTGCTTTTCGCTTTTATCCGTGATTTGGATGATTAAATGTAGCTCTCGTTTTGCTGTGGAAAGTTTGGAAGTTTTTAGTTGTTTTGTCTTGGGCCTTCCTGCAAGAAATTTGGCAAACAGATTCTCAACCTATTCTATTTTTAGAGTTGTCTGGTTTTGGTATTGTTTGAAGTGCACCTGATTTTTAAGCAGTGCAAAGCATTAGTTCCTTCATGGTTTTGTACTGTGTCATTAGAGATGGGTATAAGTTCCATAGATTCAGCAAGTAAAAATCATAGCCATATAACTGTTCATGAGGATTCAGAGTATTGTATTTTGGGGTTTGCTTGGGGTTGAGCACTCTTCTAGGAGCTATACTAATTCATTAGCTCTCAAGAGTTCAGAGGTAGGTGAGAGCATTCCATTTTACAGATGGGAAAACTGGGGCTCACTGGCTACTCAGCTGGGTAACATGGTGGACTACGAATGCAAACTCAAATTCTAGATTTCTTTTGCTCTTTACTGTACTGCTTTACTGAATTGTTTGTTCTGTTTCTTCATTCTATAAGAACAAATATAAGCAATATCTTAATGTTCAAGGCTGTCATACTTGTGGAAATTGTTAACTTTTTTTTTTTTTTTTTTTTTTTTTTTTTTTTTTTTTTGGTACCGGGATCGAACTTGGGTCCTTGGGCTTGAGAGGCAGGTGGCTGAACCACTGAGCTAAGTTTCCAGCCCTGGAAATTAACTGTTGTGGAACTATTGGGGATAAAATTGGCATGGAGAGTTGAGTGTCGTTTTCCCAGGCTCACTTTATCTTTGGAATCAGAATCTGGAGAAGGGATGAACAAGGTGTCATTGAACTAGGCCTCCTGTCAGATCAAGATGAGTGAAAGACCGCTCTGGTTTAGATGGTCTGGGCGGGCGGGCCTATTAAGGTAGTTGTAAACTTTTTTTTTTAAAAACAGTTACTGGGGATGGAAGGGTCTTTCATGTGCTAGGTGAGCTCTACAACACTGAGCCCTAGCCTCAGCCCTTTGAAACTTTTAAGGAATTTAAGCAGGCACATTCATGTTGTAGGATTTGTGCTTTGATTTGGTGTCAGATATTCATCGTGTTTTCTTCATTGCCTTCTCTGAGTGTAAATCGTGGGAAGCCATCTCTCAAGTAATGAGACCTATACAATAAATGAGCAGGGTAGTGCTTGTTCTTTACATCTGCTCTTCCTGTGCTATCCGTGGGGCATCTGTTATGTGGGAAGGCAGTTTGTTGCTGCTGAACTTGCCAAGAGTATACTTTTGTCTTAACTCTGTAAGAATTCAGTGATGATTAATCTGTCTTTATTAAAAGGGTTGGGTATTGAAGGGTATCATCTTTTGTTTGAGATTAGAGATCCTTGTTCTGATGTCATTACATTACTTATACTTATCTAAAGAGACTAGATGTCATTTGAAACAAGAAAATACTCAGTTTTTCTTAACTTTCTCGTGGCCCTGGTTGTAGTCATGTTCTGTCACACGTGTCCCTAAAGGAATGTAGTTCCCAAATTGGTTGCTATCCCATATTAATTGCATCAATAATTAGGGATGAGGGCCTGGGGATTTAGCTCAGTGAGGCTGCTGCCTGCCTCACAAGCACAAGGTCCCGAATTCCATCCCTGGTACCAAAAAAAAAAAAAAAAAAAATTAGGGATGAGGCTAGTCAAGTGTGTTTCTAAGAAGTCTTTAATATTTTTGAATGGGATGGGGGGTATATCTTACAGGACAGAGGAACACTAAATAAAAGATTGGTTTAAAAATGATAGGAACATGGAGTAGGGATGTTGGCTTAGTGGTAGGGCAGTTTCCTAGTATGCTGGAGGTCCTGGGTTCTCTGTTTCTTTCTCTGAGACAGGATTTTGCTGTGAAATACGGGCTGACTTCTAATTTGTAATTCTCCTACATTTTCTTCCTAGATTCTGGGATTAAAGATGTGTGCTATCATGACCTGGCTAGATTGATTTTTTTTTTTTTTTTTGCAGTTCTGGGAATCAAACCCAGTACCTTGAGCAGTAGGGAGCATGCTGAGCTCATCCACACCCCACCCACATCCCACATTTTCTGACTGCTTACTTGTTTGTTAGACGCTGCCAAATATTTTATAAACATCACACTTAGATCTCAGTGTTGCTCTGTGAAATAGTTTTCTTTTCTTTTTTTTAATCCTTTAATTTCCAGATGAAGAAACAGGCTCTGAAATTGTCTCTCTGTCCAAGGCCGTACAGCCCTTGAACTTGCAGCAAACCTTCTGCCTCAGTCTCTGAGTGCTGGGATTGCAGGCAGGTGCCACAATGCCTGTTCTTGTTGTTGTTGGTGAGGCTTAGGATCTGAATGTAGGGCTGAGTGTGTTTTAGGCATGCATGTACCTGTATTATACCACTGAGCACTTAATTGACCTGGAGCTTGGTTTTGTTTCTGACTTCAGCTGCAGTGTTCTTGGTCCCCATTTTGGAGTGGTGAGAAGCAAATGTAATGTAATCCAGAGCTATGGTTTTGGGATTTTTTTTTTTTTTTTTTTTTTTTTGAGACAGGGTCTCACTATGTAGTTGAGACTGACCTGGAACTCACTATGTAGCCCAGGCTGCTCTCGAACTCGCAGTGATCCTCCTGCCTCCCAAGTGTTGGGACTACAGGTGTACACCACCATGCCCAGCTTGTTCTTGGAATTTTAAATTATGTCCCCTGCCCACCCTCAACCCTGCTTCCACACAGAGAGGTCCAGAGTCATTTGTTACATTTTGTTGAGGCAAGAATTACATACAGTAAAATACACAAGAGAATATACATTTTTATCAAGGGTCCCAGATGTGCAGCAGATGTGCAGGGGGTGTTGGAACTGGGATCACAGTACTCCAGGGCAGTGTGTGGGGAAGAGCTAGTTCTCTTAGATACCTTATAGTACACTAGGGAGATCTTTAGGACTTGCTGATTTTGGAATCATGGCAATCATGGATAGCCTTGGCTTTCATTAGTTTTGAAGATAAAATTATAGCTTGGCAATACTAACTTACAAAAGAGATTGTTTTGAATAAAGAGAGATTGTTTTTCTTTGGCTTTGGGGGTTTTGGGGGAACATCCACCTTGACAGAATGGAACTGGTGCTGGAACCCAGTGAGATGGCACTTCATAGGGGACTCAGCATTTTGACTTGTAGTTGAGGAACTAGGAAGAGTTGCTCACTGAGAGATCAGGAAAAAAGTTGATTTCCTGTAGCCTCCTAGCCCATTTTTTGAGAAACTGGCAGAGGATTTTTTTTTCCTGGTATTGAGAATTGAACTCAGGACTTTATGCTTGCCAGGCAGGCACTGCTGAGCTACATTCCTGGCCTGGCAGAGGATATTTTTTAACTTACTGTTTTATCTTTTTTTTAATGGTGCTGCTATCAAACCCAGTGCCCAACTCTACTCATGGTAGGCAAGAATTTTTATACTGAGCTCTATCTCCAGTCTTGTTTACCACTGTTAAATGAAACCACAGCAGATATGACCCCTCATTTTGGATGTAGAACATGTAAAGCACTACGCATGGCCTAAAAGTAGTCTAACCATACAGCTGTAGAAAATGGTACAGTGCACTATTTTAGGGGCTGTGTGCCTGGATCACGTCATGTATTTGGGTAGTGTGGTTGTCTCTTTCTCTGCCCCCCATTTGTCTGGGGAGATAAGAAGAGATAATACAGTATGCCATGAAGAAAGAATACTTTGTGCAGCACTTGTCAAAAAGAGAAAAAGAAAAAAGCTATTGACTGTAGGCTGTTGAAGACCTTATCAGGCAGTGAAAGGAATCGCTGTTTTATGATCATTTGAAAGGGCAGCGGTGTTGGTTGATAAGTTTGTAACAAACAGCATTTCTCAGGTTCATCACCTGGACAGTCTTTGTCTTCAGGCACTGTTCTCTCTAAATTTATGTCAGCAAGACTCCTTTTTTCTAAATTATGATTTAAAGTTTGCTATTTATTTATTTATTTATTTATTTTTGAGACAGGGT